CGGCAGATAATGTTATTCTCCAATCTTAACATAAAGAAGCAATTCAGAAGTACTTTTGTTTTTTGAAAATTGTATCGTGCAAATTATAATAATGCATCGTAAATATTATTTCCTCATATTTTTTACGTTTTGCAAGTTCAAAACACTGTAAAAACACTTCTGAAATACGCGTTTACACCCCAACACGAACGTACACGAAAATACTTTTTGAAAAATGCTACACACCAACTTCTGCGTTGATTTGCTACCATTCCCTCTTTCCATTTTACATAAAAATTCCATCAAGAAGTTTGCTTTCAATCCTTTTAAGGTTAACGCATGCTTATCTACCTTTTTATCAAGCAATGTAAACAAAAATAAAGAAGGAACATAAACACTGAAGAAAAAAGGAGTAATCTAAAGTATTTATATTAAGTCACGAAATGAAATTGCAATAATTGAATTGAATTAATGCCTTATTTTAAGTGGCGAGACTCAGGCCATGATGTATGCTCCGTCTATCCACGCAAATTTTGCTACGCTCCTTTCACCAACTAGCAGCGAAAGAAGTTATTTCTTGGACGAGAAACAGGCGATTTGAATTTAGCTCAGAGGCGTCATTTAGGCTTGAGAATCTTTTACATGCAAGTAAATCTACTAACATGGGACAGCCGGCTTAAACTTATCCTCCAAAGAAAGGCGTACGAAGGATTCTTCCGCCCTTTGAACCCGCCAACTTGGGTACAACAGTCCGATAGGCTAAACGTTACACCATCGCCGCGCGCAAATAACGACAATTAGACTGATTATTAACGGGCGCGTCAACTGCTTTGGTCATGAGTCCTGTGAGTATTGCGTATGTTATCTCCCGAGAGGTAGCTCTCTCTAGGTATATTCCCTCTCCCGCTGGAACGGACGCGTAACTTAACATCTTTCCCCCATCAGGGAACTGCACCAGCCTGGACAACCTCCATGTTCCACACTGGTCTCCCGACACGTGTCGCAATGCTTTATTAGGATAAATATGGTAAATGTGTGTATCCAAGGGGTGAGGATGGCAGAAGGATGAATAAGAAAATATGACGTGCGTGTTTGTTGAGCTACTGCTCCGGTATTCGCCTGGAACTGATCGGAGAAAAAATGTAAAATTAGACGCAAAAGAAGCAACCTGCTGGAATTCTATAGATAGTGGTTGAATTTGACACAGCTGTGTGAATTACGTCGCAAATTTCTGTCACGTCTCGAACCCTCAGGATTCACGATCACCAATGATGCGGAGGCAACAGGATTGGTACAACTTGCGCGTGGTAGACAACAGTCATATCAATAATAAATAACAATAAATAAATGTCAATAATAACAAATGTCAATAATACCAACTAGCTTAGCCTTGTGCCCTCCAGCAGCAGGTATTTTCAAGACAATACTTTTTATTTGGGTTAAGCCAGTTCGTATTTTAAAAAAATTACAGTTGCCTGGCTCGCCTACCCTTAGAAACAGTTACATGAAAAAGTAATGATAGAATAACGTTTTTTTTAAATCCATTAGTGGGTTCACCTGCCGCAAATATAATGAAAAACTATCGTTAATACGTCGAATCATGTCCAAAGGATTCACATTATGGTAGAAAGGCAGGTAATCCATAGCGTATCAGCATGCAGATGGCTTAGAACTACAAAAAAATCCTAGAATAATTTCCAGAATATTCTGAAAGTATACGGCTAGAAATAGTGCCAATCGATTCGTCATGCCGAGAGCAATCAAATGTGATCACCTCCTGAGATGGTTTTAAAACACCCCTAATACGTGTTTTGGGGTCTTACACTCCTCCCCAACACGTTTTTTCGATAATCCGTTATACATTTAGGTTTAACTAATGACGCCTAGACGAATCTGATAAATGAAGTTGTTGACATAATTTCGCAAATACCCAAAAGAAAGTATAGTAATTAGCAGCATTTAACCATAGTACTTGTAGGTGCAATGAAACCATTAAAAACCTGTATTTTTCTAGAATTCATCCAGAGTTATTCCTAGAAGACTGTATAAACAACCTATGTAATCGATTTGCTCTATACAAAGGAGTTATGCTATTATCATCCTTTTATGCCGTAAAATCATCCAAAAATTCATTTTGGTAGCGTAAAATCAGAGAAGAACCTATATTTTTATAGAAAATTCTAATAGTATTTGGATGAATCCTAAAAAACTATTATTTCTCCAAAAGAAGGTTGCCGCTTGAATGACATCTGGTTTATCTCGATTGATGGATGTAAGGGTGTAATGAGAATGATGAACAGCTTACTAGAATTACTATTTACATGATTAGTTATTATGATTACCGTTATATGAGGAGCAACTAATCAAAACGCATATTGTCCACTGGTGGGAAAAATTGAGTTTGATATGAAATCGTGTAGTTTTTAATATATTCTATAGGTTTCTGTTTACAGATTTCTTCAAAACGAATTCAAATTAATGTGTTAAAATGCGTTTTGGAGAAATCTGAAAGCAGCAACATTTAGAACGCAATGTTGTAACAAATTTCATATAAAACTCCATTTTTTTCACTAGGGAACAACATGCATATTGAATAGTTGCTCGTCATATATAGTGACGAATAACCTCCGATAATTAGAAATTAATAACAGTTATAATTATTACTTAATAATTGTTAACGCGATCGGAACACGAAATAATCAATCTAGCAAAATTCTAAACTTATTGTCGCCAAAGAAAAACAATGACGCTATTCATATTGCCAAATCTTTCAATTCACCGCCAGAAGCAGTCAATTTGGTGTTTTGACGAGGGAGGCACGTGATGAACTTGAAAACGTTGGCGAAACTACGGGCTTGGCGCCGACTGCGCGACACCGACTATTTCATAATTATTCCGATCGGATGTTTGTGCGTCTTATGTGTTAATCCACACCTGAAAATCTCTGCACCACGCACTTCTTGCCGACAATATTTTCGTCGTGATAGGCCACCCGAAAACATTTGCGCTGCGCGTCATGTGTCCTATCTGAGTGTGTGCATTGCGTCGCTCGGTAGTCTGTGTGCATTCGTCTTCTAGTAATTTTCTCAAGAAATCGCTCTAAATTTTTGTATTAAACTTCTTCCTCGGATATCGAAGAGAACGGTTTAAAATTCAAGCAGGTCTCAATTTCATTTGAATTCCTGTTTTTTCAAAATTTACCTAAGTTCAAATGTTTTGGCCGTCTTCCTACAATTGCAATATTGAATATAGATATTTCTTTTTTAAAATTTATTGTTCAAAGACACATTTTGAAATAAGGTCAAGTACAATTCTTCATAAAATGCGAGAGGTGTTTGCGTAATTTCGAATGAAGTACAGTAGGTTTAAAAAATTTTAACAACTATTTTCTTCAAAACGATTTCAATTTTATTCTTTAAATGTGTTCCTCGCATATTTCACCTCGTAAATTTTCTGTTTGATTAAGGGACGGTAGTGGAGATTTTCTCATTCCGGCAAACTGTCTATATTATGAAAAACTGCAAAAAGTATAAATAGTATGTTAGAAAAAATACTAGGAAGTATGTAACGTATCACCACTAGTTTCATTATGAGATGGAGCGTAAAGACGGACCCTTTTTGCATTTCTTTGCGGTAGTTGAGTTACATCAGCGAGCTCATGTCACCTTCAGTACACGGACACACGAACGCATTCCGTCCTTCCAACTAATTTGCGCCCCGAATTCCTTTGATGCACGCGGACAATCCACCAGAGCGCGGGGGTCGCGCGCTGTGCGAAGTACATTTTTGTGCCAGTTCCCTTTTGGTGAAATCGGGGTAAATATTTGCAAGTTTGGAGGTGACTAAACAGTTGTAACATACGCAATTATTATCGTGTGGCAATGCAATTCCAGCGTCATTTAATAAACAGTTTATTTGTTTATTATAGACTGTTTCTTGACTGTTACAGTTTAGAATATGTTTTTTAACAAGTGTACATGCAATAAATTGTAGTAATTTAGCGTTGAGTAAATTCTGTTAATCTGTTAAGAAAAAGCATTTAAGTCAGAAATAAATACTAGGTAATTCCTTATAATAATCATATTAAAAATATATTAATTTTCAACAATAATTAATAATTATTTATTAAAAATTGTAGCATGTTAATCTGAACAATACATTCTATCGTAACGCAGTGTTATGTTATCCAACTCTTGGCATAATTCGTGTTTTTTATAATTTCAAAATGAAAGTGATTTCCAAATTTCGCTTTGCAAAAATAACCTCATCATGGACGACAGAAGCCTTACGGGTACTAAAGCAATTTTTAAGCAATTCTGTATATTACTTCAGATTACTAAGTTACAGTAGAACCTCTGTAATCCGAACTCGTTTGGGATATGGTCATCTTCGGATTCAGAAATATTCGAATTATTTGCAAAAATTTACCGTAAATATACAAATAGATGGGATTACCAGATACGAATGCAACGTAGCATGCGATGTGAGAAAATGGCAATGTAGCAAAGCAATCGTATCATCATATCGCATCATCAAGCAGATTACCAATTTTGCAAGTTCCTCTAAGTGAAAATTACTGCCATATAAATATGTGATATACACCGTAGTTACCAATGCAATAAACATTTTATTTCGACAACTTGTGTTTCAAAAATATTCGTATTTCAGTTCTACAGTAATTACTTGTATAAAATCATTTCTTTACCCTACAAATAAGCATTTTATTTATTTTGTTTATATTTCCTCCATTCCAACTTTTGTTCAGAGTCTCTGAAATTTAGGTTTAGTGGAGTTCGGATTAGAGAGGTTCTACTGAACATTAAAAAAATTCTTTAAAGGTATTTGAACAGACAAATCTGACAAAGATTGGGTTACATATTACACATTTGTAGTAACTAACGATTAAAATTATAATGTGCGTAGTCTAAATCGAGAGACACACTTAAAAATACAGGAGTCAAATGTTCGAAGAAAGATGCACCTCAACATCATTGCATACGTTATCTTCACATGTGTCTGCTACGGTGGAGTGGCTAGCTATTGATTAAGGCTGACAGATTCGCCCGAAATGAAATTTTTTACGTCTTTTATTCACATAATTGCATTGCAAGTTACACCTTTGCAGTATTTAGGTTGCGTTATGTAAATCGCGTAGACCGAATGTGAAGCCGACAACTTGGAAATGCGAGAACGGAGCGAGTCAACGGATTCTACAATTTCCAGCAAAGAACATAAAATTTGCGTGACGTACCCAAAATACTTTATTCAAAATAATACTCCAAGAAAGGAATTGTCAAAAAAAAGAGTGTCCGAGTGTCTTTTCACGTACAAAAATGTGTGACATTTTCGCATGGGTTCAGCGAGTAAATGGCCATTCCTGAGCACTTGCTGCGATAGCTCATACAGACGCACCGCCGCGCTGCTGCGCCCTGCGGCCAGCGCCATAGTGCTAATTACGTGCGCGAGGACGGGAGACCCGCGTTCGGGCCTCGCCGCCGCCGCCGCCGCCGCCGCCACCGCCGCTCCAGCCGCAGCCGCTGCCTGCTTACCTGCAACAAGAGGCCCCTCTGTGTTCGCCGCGGGGGCAATCGGATTACAGTGGCCGTTGTATTATCGCGACACAATTACCATTGGGCTCCACCGCCGCGCGCTGCCCGCAAACCCACCCCCACACATACACGCACTCGCCGCACGCCACACGTGACCACTAACAGGCCGTGCGTGCCCCCCAAATTCCGAAGCCAGCTGAAGTGCACGAGAAGTCCCGGGAACAATATGATAACGGTAGGCGCGCGCAGTCTAAAACAAGGGGGGGCAACTACATTTCTGGGTCCTTGTGACCCACTTTCCCACCAAACTGTTTTATTTACACATGATGTATTTTAGTAGGAAGTGAATAAAATAAACAAGGAGGATGGCGTAACTTTAATTCTACAATTAATAAATACAATTGATTTCACGTGAAACCATTTACAGGGTTGACAAATCGTTTCTAAAGCCTCTTCCCCGAAAGTCGTGAACTTTCCCATACCGCAGTTTAAAAAGGGGGAAGAGACGAAATGACAATGATTGCATTAACGTTGTTTTTCCTTTCTCTTAAAAAAGGTACGAAAATAAGTATCCTCACTATGTTGCTCGATTCCTTCATACTACCCACATATGTTTTCAACAACTCTGGATTATCCACCTCTGCCTCTCTATCTTATTCTTTGTTGAATAATGTAACTTTGTCGAATAATGTAACCACAAGAGTGGTCCACAACATTTGATAATACAAGTTGTCTAATGTTTAATACCTTTGAGAGCTTTATATAATACGTAACCAAAGTTTCAAAATAGTCGAATTTGCTGTTTTCATATAAATAATATCAATATTTATACAACTGGGTGTTTCAAAAATGTTCTAAAAATTTCGAAACTACGTCAAGGTATAAGAAGATTAAATGTCTCTATTGTTATAGATTTAAAAAGTATTTATGTCAAAAGTTCGACGTTATTCATCGTCGTTTGCAGTGAATCTTAAATATGTTAAAGTCTCCCTAAAAACAAACTCTGGCAACGGCTCTAATAACAATCAGCTCATTACCGTAGGAGGCGAGCCAAATATGAAGCACCTCCAGAACTCTCAGCCACACATCGTTCCTGCTCCTACCCTGAAGCCAACGACAAAATGCCTCTCACCACACGGCTCGAAGGACATGGAAGGTAATGGAAACGGACGTGGGAGGGGGCCTCCACACGCGCACCACAAACGCGCACCCGACACGCGCACCCGCAGCGCACAGCCGACACGCGCACCCGACACGCGCACAACCGACAACGCGCACCGGCGGAACGCGCAGCCGACACGCGCACCGACACGCGCACCCGACACGCGCACCCGCACGGCCACCGCCGACACTCCGTACCCCACAGACGTCCCACAGCACACCCCACGACACAGCACTTACGCACTCCCTCATGCCCTCAAACATTCTCGGCTCGCCTAACCCTGACCCAGCCGCGGCGGGCGTCCGCTATGGCCGCTTGCACGCCGCTGTTTCTCTCGCCGCACGCTGGGCGCTTCGTTTCGCGCCTCGGCCCATTCATCCCACCCGCGCATTCGTCGCGCGCTTTTCGCCCTCGAATGGGTCGCGCGTCGATCGCCGGGAGAGTGTTGCCAGCGCTAACCGAGAGGGCCGCCCCGCACGATCGACTGGGCCGCGGCCCCGAGGAAGACATAATCTCTGCGAGGACACTGCCCCGCGAATTCGAACTCGCGGACTGAACCACATTACGGATGCACGATGCACATTTCGCTAGTTCTCGCCAAGAGTAGTACCTAGTCATACATTTCCAACTGCAAGCGAAGTGATCTCAGGTGAGTTATCTACTTGACGCATTAATATGCGCGTTGACATTCATGCCCCCTTTTACGAAATCTCCTGCTAATTCACTAAGAATTATTTCAAAATTGTTACTATAAGACAATACACTTTAATATACTGTAATAAACTTTATTATTAACAGGGATTTGTTTGTCTCAGATTTTAATATTTGCATATTACGATTACGACGTGCAGATATCGGTATATCGCGTAGGGTTATTCGGTGATATTGGAGCTGTGACTTCCAATCGCTTGAGAAATTTTCTAAAGGGTACTGTTAAATTCACTAATTCATGTGCGTGTTTAATTCAGCATCTATAGTCCATACGTATTATTTTGAAAAGCCGAAAAAGAATCTCAGTAGGCAGGCGCGTACGCGACAAATAGAAAACAGCCAGACATCACGCCATTAATCAATTTTCGGTATCAGTAATCCACAAAACGTGGATTCTGAGTGGACACCATATTAGAGGAAGTAATTTACTAGAAATGGGAACAAGAAATGCCCACATTTTCGTTTCTAGTGCTCCACAATATGAGTTCTACCAGCCACTCGTAAAACGTTTGTTTTTTTCCAAAAAATCTATTTCTGTCATACTATTACAATACTTTTTTGTCTTAAGTCTTGTCTTTGTACGTAAGTAGACAGTACAAAAAAATCACGATGAATAAAATAAATAAACATTTACTAAATCAAAATTATTAACAGTGTACCATATTCAATATCAAGTAAGAAAGAAAAAAATTGTTATCGTAAATATAACGAGTTTCAGACATTGTAATTCTAGAAGGCTGAAGGAAAATATACGAAAATTCGAGATGTTAACGAATCCAATTACATAAGTTACACTTTTTGATGTTCTACGGTGTAAAGGTATGTCACGTTGAATATATACGGCCCACCCTCTCGTTGAATGCGGCTTCAGGATCAGTCCAAATAGCGGCCACATAGACCGCGTGTCGCATGCAACTGTTGCTCCGTTGCGGTTCATTTCCGATAGCGTTAAGCGTTGCTACGTGATCATGTCGTGCAACCAAACGTCGGGAACAAAGCAGTCTTCGACAAACAGAAACCCAATCGTGCGTTTGAACCATGTCAGCTATTGCAGGAGCGGTAAGGAATATAGTGTAATTAGTGAATCAGGTATCGTTTTCAAAGGATATTTACGAAAT